CTTTCTTAGCAACTGTCATTGCACGTTGAAGGAAACCATAGCAGCCTGAAGTTTTTATGATTTTATATCGTAACCATCAATTCTAATAACTTATTTGTGAGAACTTTAATATTATAAATATCAGTGGTATCATGGTAGGCCCGAAGGTTACGGCTTAGGCGATCGCTTCTCTTGCTTGAGGGTGCGAATTCGAATCATCATAACAGTATTAGAACTACCTACGAGACATGTTCCGAGTTCTATGTATCTTATAAAATTATTAACAAACAATGGAGGAATTCAAAAACTTTTAAGTTATAAGTTGTCACCATGATCAAGGATGAATGCTCATTCTTTCTTCGTGTGAGAAGAGGCCTTGGTCCGTAGTGGGTCCTTACACACACAGACAATATGAAAAAAACTAATATTTACCTACTTTTCTCGTTATACATACATACCTATGTTTACACGACATTGTATCAAAGTTATCAACTACATCGTTATAAACAAGGAAATAAGTAATAATAACAAACATATTTATAATATCTTAATCGCGACGACATTCTATAATACAAAGTACGTAGAGTTTTCAAATTGATTACTATTATTATTAACCTTATCATAAAACATTCACTAATCCGTTTTTTTTTTTGTAAAATAATTTACATTATACCAAGCCATTTGGTATGCAGGTCAGATAGTAAGGATTAATAAAGTAAATGTCGTTAAAGACAAATCAATGATTTCAAATAGAACACTATTGGCACTTTTGAACGTCATACAAAATGAAGTTCTTCAACTTTGTGTGTCAGTCAGCCAGCAAGGCCTTAGGAGTCTCCGTAGCCAGCCTTTTGGGCATGGAGACTTAGGAATTGAATATGGAGGATAGGGGAGTAAAGAATAGGCTTTCAGTAACCGGAATCACTCAGCGAAAATCAACGCAAACTTTGTTCCTCGACGGTTTTCTGTAAGACAGTATGCCAGTCCGGTTGAAGCATGGGTTTCATAAATTTAATCATTTCAAATGTGGGATAGCCATGCTTCGGCAAGAAAGAGCCGACTCGACCGGAATGATACCACAGCCCACAGAAAACCAGCGTGAAGCAATTCTAACGATGTATTTCGCCGTGTAAGTGAGGTTACCAGAGGTCCAATCCTTTCCTCTCCTCATCCTTCATCCTCAAGTCTCTTCTCCCTATCCTAAACTTCCTAATGACCCACAAAAGGCAGTCAATACACTTGTAGTAACTCCTTTGGCTTTGCGATGCGGCGGCCGACCATAGACCAGGTTTACCGAACTATGATATAAAAAATACACATAAACTTATACCTACAATACCATATTATGTACAGTATAAATATAATAGGTAGATAGACATACCTATTCAAATATATAAATAATTTTAGTGTCAAAGATAAAGCAATCTTATCGACAAAGTTAATGTAAGAAGTTAATATAATAATCTCAAACGATCGAATTGAAATACGCGTTCATAGAAATTAACCTTATTAGTAGGTAATTAGTCAAAATGTGATATCTAATTAGGCTCAGTAGCTTTTACGTCACTGTTATAATGTACGAACACGATATTTTTTTGTAATAACAACTTTTTCGATAGCATCTGTCCTTTATATCTACTCTATGGGTAAGTAAATTGTTAATGTCGTAGGTATTACTAATTGCGAAAGCGTGTTTTCTTTGATTTTAAATCTGTTGCAAATATTTTGTGTTGCTATAGCCCGGTTTGACAACCTTGTTTTTATGTTTACAATTGATATTTATATTGGGTGATCTACAACTACACTTTTTTTGTACATACATAAATATCTGGTGCAAAGTAATTTTCATTAAAGAAAGAGAGGCTCATTCTTGCCAGTAACAAAAAAAAGATTAGGACCTTCTCGGTTTCATCAGAGCTAATAAACCTCCTATTTTAGGGCTTCATACATTTATTTGGTAGGGACAGAAATCTGTGCGAGCTGTCGCAACAATCGCACTTACAATCGGAAGCACGTCACATCACGGATACAGTGAATAGGCAGCCCTATAGCCACTATTGTTCATCATTGACGGCCATTACCCACCATTGTCCATCAAGCCTTCGGTTTAGTTCGAATCTATTGTAACGGCCAGTAATCGAATATTCTCTTTCGAAGCCTTTACACGAACAGGTAAATTGCAACCTTATTCCCAAGTTGAATAGAAACCTTTTCGACGTTCAAGGTTTTGTTTAATTAAAACTAGTTGGAAATGTATCTAAGGAAAAACTAATTTGTAGTGGAGTTCTGTGGATTTACCTGTTTATCTGTTTTAATCATAAACTAAAATTAAGACAATAACAGAATTCCTGATATTAAGATATCAAACTATTTAAATTATACGTGTTACATAGTTAGTTATCTTTAAATTTAAGATTTAAAAAAGACACTAAATTAATCATAGAGAAGGAGCGGCCATTACTAAATCGTAAAAGCGACATGACAGTGACAGTTCGACAAGTTGGCGCGCTTTTGCATTGCCGCCGCCATTACGAAGTGGTTATAAAATGTCACGATTGTAAAGATTATAGTTAAGATAATCGCTTAATAAGCATTTTGTCCTGCTAATTATTGTATACATACTAAATACAATAGAATAATACCAACCATTAACTAATTGAATTTGATTTATTGGTCGATTGTAGTTCAACGTTGATATATTCATTAGAAACGATGAAAGTTATGCTAATGAATTATATCAAAGCACTCAAAGGACTATCTAAGGACATTTCTGAATGCTGCCTAAATCCACATTGACTAAAAGGACTCTTACTAATTTCCATAAGGGTTGCCAAGTTGAAATCTTCGATGGGCACAGGGATATTTAGGGAACTCGACACTATAATCCATTAACGCGTTTTCAATGGAATTCTGTTAATGCCAACTTGTCATGTAACAGAATTAAAAAACATCTTTTGCAGTAATCTAAACAAATATTATACATAAATGCGAAAGTAACTCTCTGTCTGTTTGTCTGTCTGTCTGTTTGTCTTTGCTTTACGCCTAAACTACTGAACCGATTTCTGTGAAATTTGGTGCAGACATAGTTTGCGAGAATGGTCACAGGATAGTTTTCATACCAAACATCTGCAGGAACTCACTATACCACGCGAACGGAGTCGCGGGAAAAAGCTAGTATTATATGAAATTTTGATATGATGATGCAGCTTAATGCATCTGAACATCACAACAAAATTTTATCTCTATTAAAAATATACAGGACCGTTTTGTTTTGTATGCATGGTGTCTGTATATTTTTGCATATTGCATTAGGTTAGACACCACAGGGTAAAAATTGAGGTCAAATATTTGTACAGTCACAGAGTAACAGTATGTCCACTATATATAGATAACAATATCAAAATATTCACCGTCTTTCTTTTCATTGAAGTGGAAATTGTTGAGCAAAGCCTTTAAATATGGCTTTTGGCAGAATATCGTCAGGTTTCGCTAAAAGAAACTTTGTACTTCACACAAATAAGTTGCAAAATCCATTGATTGATTTGGACTCTCGAAGAGAATTATCTTTCTAACATCGCTGTAAACAATTATCTATTCAAGTTGGTACTTGTATTGTAAATTATTCTATTTATCTCCACTTGATAAATCACTACAGCTTTATATAGAACAAAGACAAGTGTTTAGTTATTTTAAGGCAATTAATCGGAACGTTTGAATGATGAGAATTCCTCTACACAAAGTGTTCTATTCTGGTCGAGAAACTATGTTACTTTGAAAACTTTTTTCAGAGTAAGGTGTCGAAATAACCACAGAATATAACATAACATTTAAATAAAAGAGTCTTTAAAACATCTATCACTACAGAATGGCAGTTATCTTATTATTTTCTATACGTTAATTGTATTTAATCAGTAATGATAGAATTTTTTGGAATAAGACGAAAATACCTACAATTATACTATCTTTAGTGTTTGATGTTTCTTGTGTTTTTATTTCACTTCCATTCACGGGAGCACAGGGTGCCGGTCCTTTGGAAGGCGTACGAGGGGTCGCAGAGGGCCTTTGAACAATTTTAATATTAGTGAAATGGGACCTCAGCCTGTGTTTTTATTATTACGGTGTACAATAAAGAATATTCTATTCTATTGATTGTCGTGTATTTTCATATTTGTCTTACTCGATAAAATTCTTTGCGTAACACGGTAGAAAATAATGCGCAACAAGATCTCCAAGTCGGAATCAGTACAATGAACTGTTTAATTGCTTAACATCCTGTCATATCAGATGGCGACAATCCAATTATAGTGAAAGTCATGTTTCGGTCCTAGCCAGAGGCATTAACTACCCAAGCTATCAGAAACCGAATCTATCCACGCCACTAGTGACAGGTTAATCTGTCAACAGCGCACAGATTATAAATCGAAGACCAGTATTATGTTTCTCATTAAAACATTACAAAAAAACTAGTTTGAAGTTTCACTTATATCATAACAAGTCAACGGCCTTCTAAATGTAAAATAAGAGTTTGCCATTAATAAAAAATAAAAATAAAAATGTATACATAAATAATGATTAGCTTCTGCTTTCGATGAAGGCGAATGCAAAAGAGTACAGCTACTAGTGAGTCGCGTTTTAAGTGATTTAATTTTGATACTATGTTTGATAAGATTAAAATTCCTAGATTGGACTTCTTTAATGCATTTCCAATAACAAACATTATTGCGATATACTTGTAAATACATTAAGAATTGTATTATCCGTACTGAGAATAATCTGGACATTGGCAAAAAGAAAACTATGCATTTTAGTAATAAAAGATGGGTCTATTGAATTTTCTTCGTATTTATGGCCGATCGGCTGCACGGCTGGCGTAGTGGCCAGGCATCCGAGTTTTGAATTTGGAACGACCCGGCGAAGCAATGATGCGGCTTACGATGTAAGCAACCTCTTCACTCGGGCCTTTACGACACTTTTTACCATATGAATAAAATGTTCTAAATTATAATGTTATTTCTTCTTACCACTTCAATTTCATCATCAGGTTCCTCAGCTATGTTTGTGAGTATAGCACTCGGCCTCATTGAGACCCTACGCCGCACAGACTTGGCCCATAAATCAGGATCTTCTTTTTCATCACTGACAATTGTGAATTGTTCATAAAAATTAACCACTTCACCTGTGACGTTGTTAGAACTATTTACATATGTTGTATCTTTAACGGCAACTGAAGGTCTTTTTCTTTCTGTAATTCTTCTGTATCCTTCTGAATCATGGCTTTCTCCAAGTATACTTATCGACCTTAGGTTTTGCTGACCATATTCATATTCTAGATCGAATCCTCTATCTTCAAACAAACTTTTAAATCGCGCCCAACACCCCAAATTTTTCTTTTTATCCACTGTTGGGTTATTCTCAACAACATTAACGTTATTCTTATCCATGTCGGTGTACAAATCTGTATAAAAGTCTTTACAGAATTAAGTTGTTTTTACAATGAAATAATCTTTTACATAATGACGTTAGTCCTTTACAATAAGTGATTAGTAAATCTTTTTAAATTGAAATCAATGCTAAGTAATCTAAAACATTAGAGATTACACCGATAGCGTATGTTTCCGGTAGTTCGATAATTGTTGTTTTTCAGTAGTTAGAATTTAAATTACTACATTCTGCTGATTTAAAAATTGAAGGTTGTCACTTGTTGCGTTTATCGCTTCATCGGCATTAATGTGTTCTCCTAGTAGTGAAAATGATTACGTTTCGATTGTTATCTTCCAACGATGAAAGCAGCTACTATTTTATATTTTTAAACTTTAACGGAACACAGATTAAACAGCACCACAGATCACTAAATATTTCACTGAACGCCACCGTTTTTTAATAAACCGCACGTGTATTTTTTATATTTCCGAAGACCTCCGTGACTTATTCAGCCAACGTATTGTATCGAACTAAAATATTAAGAATTATTGTCCTTACAGAGACTGATAACACTTATCGATTAGAGTCGCACTGATTACGTTTCATAAGACCGTCGAAATTGTTGATTAATACATTATTTGAGTTATTTAATTATTATAATGGCTCAGATTTTAATATAAATGTTACAAGACACATAATAATCCATGTCGCAAAACTCTGAGTTAGCAATCCTTGTTAAAATTCTTTCTTTAGCAAATTTATAATATTAATTCTCGCTAATAAGTCTAGTGCATATATTGCTATTTACTTTATTTTTAAATAAAACAATGTATCAGTTTACATTGATTTGCCTTTTTCAGCAAATTAAGGACAAGTTGGAAGTGTTGAAATCAAATTATAATATTATTCGTTGACAAATTGTGTAGGTACAGAATGGTAATGATTAGATGTCGCAAAGTAATTAATGTATCATATTACATAGAAACAAGTAGCATGCTAATGATACATGATCAGACAAGTTAATTTATAATGTTTTGTAGGAAGCAAGTAGTGTTTGAAGTAAACGATTTGAGTTTTTATATGTAGTCATGAGTCATAAGTACTCAACTTATTAGAAAAAGAAGAAAAGACAAAAATATTTAAGCTGGTCTAGTGGACAAATCTGCACAAAAATAAAAAATATAATTAGGTAGTTTCCTAGGTCAAAAATATTAATATATGACTTTTCAATACAATGAATTATTAATATGTAATCATATTTTTATTTTCATATAGTACATATTACTATATTTATACTTAAATGTAGATTTTCTCTAGTTACATTCTTAAAATAAGTAAGTATGCTGTTTGGTTTGACGTAATAAAAAAATAAAAAAAACATTATGTCGTCATATGCGATCTCATACACAATTCATAAATATATATCTATTTTGACATTACAATAAAAACAATGAATTTGACTAGTTGGAAACTACCAGATTCGACTAAGCGTGTCTCTAGTTATTGTCCACGGAACTAGCTGATTCTGAGTATTACTCTATCATAATCATACAAACAAACATAAAAGAATATATTTATTTATTCAAAATCTAGCGCTCTTTCATTGAATTTCATGAGCCACTTTGACGCACAGTTAGAACAATAACACAGAAAGAACCGTTCCGCAAAAAGTTGAACTCCTAAAAACACCATATTTTTTATTATCAAAACAACTGACCCACACAACTCATTCATTGTTAAAGATATTTTTGCATTAATCAAGAGCTCTTAAAAATGACGCACATCATCGTTAATCACTGCAAATGTACAATCCTGCGCAGGCCGTCTTAATTGAGGTGTTTTGCGACAAGAAGATGTGAACCTTGACCCACCTGATTGGTTCGGCGCCAGAATTCAATCTCCAATTTAGTCTTTTGAACTCTTTATGACTATTTGACTGGTTATTTATTAACTGTTAATGTGAAAACTGAATTGAATTGATATATGTATATATGGGTTAATATAATTGGACTGGGTATTTGGGAGTTATTATCGTAGTTGGACTTTGCTTTTTTTGGTAAAAAATGTACTCGACTTAATTCAATATAAGGCATTTATTTAAGGTCGTACAGAAATTTTAAGACGTGTCAGAGTTTTATGAAGAAGTATTGACTTTTGAGACGTTTTTGTGTGTCAGTGTGATTTGGTTGTATGTTTAAATACTACACAAGTACAAAACGAGAATCGAATAATTAGGAAAGGCTTAATTATTGTTACGAAGTCAACCAATATTTTTGTAGCAACGCCATCGATTTCATTTAAATTACATAAATGGTTACTTCTAATGATTTGACTGCACGGTTGGCGTAGTGGCTGCAGCGCAACATGTCGCGGGTTCGATTCCCGCACGGAACAACTCTTTGTGTGATCTACAAATTGTTATTCCGGGTCTGGGTGTGGTGTGTATGTGATATGGTATGTTTATAAACGCATCCACGACACAGGAGGAAATCCTAGTTAGGCGGAAAAATTTATAATTCGCCTTGGATAGTGACTTTTATCTCTGAAAACATATTTGGGCATTGCAGTTCACTTCGTGATATTTTAACTAGGTATATAATAATGTACAGAATTGAAAAGAGATTTCAGTTTCTGGCCTATGCCATAAGAAAAATAAAACAAAGTTAGGTCATACATAATTTACTTCCCAAAAGAAAAAAAAACTCAAGTAAAACATTCATGGACAAATACAGAAAATTTATAGTTATTTATGTAGTAGTAAAGGTTAAAGTTGGGTGCAATGAGAATTAATTTGCTATATGTCTAGAATAACTAACTACTCTGAGGTTAAGTGTTAACGACGTGAAATTAGTTGAACTTATGCACGTTTGTAACTTACTGAACTAAGTCGCTATTGTTTTGTTTTGTTAGATTAATGTTGTTTTAATGAATGTTTTCATTTCATATACATACTATTTACTAGCTATTCTCGCGCGGTTTTACCCGGTGTTCGACTCCTACAGATCGCAGCGTGATTTTATATTGCCTAAAACCTTCATCGATAAAAGGTCTATTAACACACAAAAAGATTTTTTCAATTCGTACAAGTGCTTCGTGAGATTAGCGCATTCAAACAAACAAACAAACTTTTCAGCTTGATTATATTATTATATAGTATTAGTATAGATAATCGAGGGTATAGTGAAAGGATAGATGTAGATACATTTTTTATAATTTATACTCTTTTAAGCGCAGATTTTGTAAGGCACGACTAAGCAGCGTTTACGCACATGCGTCTTGCGGTGCTTCGTGCGTATTGCTGTACATTGCAGCATTAAAAAGGCAAACCTTAGGTTAATGTAATGTTAGGTTAGACTGCAAGGTTGGCGCGGTGGCTGAGCAACTGGCGGTCGCGCAACGTTTCGCGGGTTCGATTCCCGCACGGAACAACTCTTTGTGTGATCCACAGATTGTTGTTCCGGGTCTGGGTGTGGCAATTGTATGTTACAGGAAATTGTATGTTTGTAAACGCACCCACAACACAGGAGAAAATCCTAAAGTGGGGCAACGTTTTATATAAAAAAAATAATGTTTATATATTTATATTTGTGAGAGACTAAATCCAATTACATTTATTAATGTGTTACTATTTCACGCAAAACTGACTCATACATAGAAAAAGGATTCATAAATCAGAATCATTTAAGAAAAATATATTAATAGACCCAAACTTATCTACCAATTGAGAGATGTCATCGACCATTATCTGAGTTCTGTCATAGACAACTAGCAATTCCTAGACTAAATTGGTCTGTTTGACCGTTTGAGTTATAGCCACACATCATCGAGCGAGCATCGACCTTAGATTTGTTTGGGTGACGTCATGAGATAAGTACCAGCTGGTACTCCAGTATCCTACTTACTTAGAATATTATAAATGAGGAAGTTTGTATATGCAGATCGATGTTTTTTTACTCTTGTACGCAAAGACTCTGACATCTGATCTGAATTTACGAATTTAAGAAAAATAAAACAAACGAAATTTTAGCTTTGGCACGAATTGGTCGCTTGTCTAGAGTGATACCACGGCCTCACAGACAACCGGTGCGAAACAACCACAGCGTTGTGTGAGGTTATCGGAGGCCCAATCCCTACCCTTACCCCCATCGCACCTAATCCTTACCGACTAAAAGTTGGGTGTCCACAGGCGGTGCTGATTGTTTAACATCAGGTAATATAGGTCCAATCGTTTGCCGACCTATACTGAAAAAAAAAAAAATTGGCATAGAGATAGATGATAGTCTGCAATAACATAGGCTGTTAATCTGGGTAACGCGGTTGATGTCGCTGTCAGAAACTATGTTCCTAGTACAATTGTAATGGCATATATGTAAGTTCATTCAATTGCAACTATCAATTATTTATTTTTTGTATTAAAACTTAAAATGATTATAAAAAAAAGAGCTTAGTAAGATTTTTATTCTAGTACCTCTGAGGAAGTCGCTTTCAGAAATACAGTTTACATAAAGTAAAAAAATGATATATCAAAATTGTTGTACAAACAGATACCTTAGAACGAATATTTTTGCGAAATCAAATCTTGAGCTAAATCAATGGTTTACCTGAGCGTACTACCATACTCGGAGATCTTTAATGATTATCTACTTAAACTATTTTCAATCCAAAGTATCGTTGACCTGTTTATAAATCTTTCGGGTAAAAATACTTCTTGTGACAAATAACCTATGTCATAATTTCATAGACCCTACTGTTGTGTTTGTACTTTTATAAAGCCATTATAAAACCATGTTCCTTAGTGGGTTCTATTCTTATTTATAGTTTGTAAGATAATATTTTTATAATAACTTTCGTGAGACTCTAAATTAATTATTGTTTTCGACTTAATCACGTAATAATTTGACGAGATACTCGACTAGTTTCAAGCCATGCTTGAGGCCCATATTCATGAGCAACATTCCGCGACACGCGACGCGGCGACTCGAGTAGCAGCGCGACAGTCGCCGCGTCGCGAGTATCTCGTCAAATTATTACGCGAGTAAGCCGAAAACATAATAATGAATTATAATAATATTTATATTATATTAATGAAGAACAACTTACGGCGACATCGACTAGGGGCTCGTCCTCCGGCGTGAGCGCAAGTGAGGAGCGTCGGCCGGCGCGAGCCCCCGGCGACCCGCTCGAACTGCCTGCGACAATACAAATAATTACAATTATTTTTAATACCATGAAAAGATCTGTTAAAAATCAAGAATATTATATCAACATGAGATTTTATTTAACCTTTCAATCGCAGTGATTTGAGACACAGTCTAAGAACAATAGATATGTGCGCCAACGCCGGCGTTCGCTTGGGATTTGATGAATATCTTATTTGGAAACCTATATTTCCTTCAAGCGTTCAAAGTCTTTATAAATAATCTGTCATAATTAGTATTTAAGCTCTTTGACATCATACAAAAATCTGTTTAAACTTCTCTTTACGCAGACGCTCTCCCATAATGTCACGCACATTTTCTTTTACTACTTATTAAAAATATTTGCTTAAATATTTTATTAGTAATACGAGCGTCTATAATCTGATGGTCGGCGCCTCCATACCAGAGGAGTTCCGAGTGCATTGTTAGCTTACTACGGAGATTTGGGGAATATAGATGGAAGGGGGAGATTAAGGTCTTCTTTAGGTAACCTCACATTCGGTCCTAAATTTCGGTTTTCTGTTTTGGTATCACTCCGGTTGAACATACACATACCGAAGTATGGTTATATAATATAATGATTATAAGGTAAAGGTATGAGTATGTAAGTTCGTATGATTATACTATACTCTTTCATGCAAAAAATATTTATAAAGTATTTAAACGGAATTTGGCATAAAGGCAAATTATAATAGTATGGAATTTGGAAAATAGCACATAACTAAAATTCATATCAACTTTTGAATAAAAGGTTTTAATTAATGATTAATCTATTTTATCGAGTTTCGCCGAAATTAACTACAATCATATGGGCTGGCTTCTAATTAATTTTATTATTAATTAATTATTAATTTGCTCCAAATAATTATGTTATGACATCAAACGTACCATATATATACTTATATAGAGTATTTATGTATGTATGTATTTTATTACAACAAATTGAGTTTTGCAAAAAGAATTTTGTATTTCTATTTATTTATAAAAAATTATCGCATTTCTCATCCTGCACTAGAAGAGTGACGCAAGAAGGAGTGTCAGACTCTTACTGACTGAAAGCCATTTTAGAGAACAAGATCCTGATACTTCCTCTGACCTTACCCAGAGAGCGAAAGAAACCATTTAATTTTGACGATTTAATAAAATCAAATAGGAAACCTAATCGAACAAATAAAACCTACATATACATATAACAAGAAATAAATAGAATTTTTATCTAAGTCCGAAGTGCCGAAGTGATACATTGAGACAAAGATGGACTAAAACTAAAAAAAAAAACTATTCAGTTTGACGATATTCCTGCTAACCTCTCCAAGTTGTGGTTTAATTATTATGTTAAATAATTCATTCAATATCTAATAATATTATCTCGGTCATCGCGTGAATAACTTTCTTCTTTACATAATTAGGTAAACAGGATGTAAAATTAGAATTAAATGTGCAGAAACCGGTTTATTTGTAATTCTAGTGCTCCGTGTGAATTTATTATCAATTCAGGTTTTTGATTGAATCGGTTTAAACACGTGTGTGTTCAAGCTAAAGTTGTTTTGGTTGGTATGCAGTTTGTTCATTTACCTAATCACCTTTATTTTTTTTTCTGAAAACATTTTCTGCTAACTCTTTTTGCGTTTTGTATTTAATAGAATTGATGAGACACGCGGAAGATTTTTTTTACGAGTAATAGTATTCTTTTTTTGAATACAAATATATTTGCACTAGACGCTTCTGCCTACATAAAACTTTTTGCCATTGTTTTTTATAAATGAATGTTTTTAACCTGTGTCAGTATCATCACTGCCTCGTCTCTGAAGCCACCGTTGCACCAATTCGATGCTGGCTTCTTGTCCAGCCAACATTATCATTCACACATAACATTTAGATCACCACACAACACTTTGATATGTCAACACATTTTTTTATTTAACTCACAAATTCACACAAAATCTCAACGGTCACTTTACATAAATTTTATTATTTTTAAATTTTACGCTATCACCATAAAGGCCCGATATCCAAAAACACAACGTAAAAAAACAACACTGGCCGAAAGAAATGACAGCACTTTGCCGCGTTCAAATATCGAATTAATTAAATGACGAACGTCGACGGCCGAGTGTAAACAGCGAGTAGAGTAGATGAAGCAAAAATAATTGTGCACTTGTTAAAAATTGTATTTATTAATTTTCAACCCTACCACGTTGGTATAAGAGGGTTCGATATTTTTTGCGAGTGCGACCGTATTTTGGTGTTGTGGTGTAGAGTTTGTAGAGCGCGCAAGCGGTCTGTTAGGTAATGGCCGTCAAGCCGAGACAGTTGATCGAAGAAGGGGGGTGAATGTAGGACGAGTGTGGTCTGAGCATACATTAACCCACTGGAAGGGATACGCTGACAGCCTGTTGATGGTTCTCGCGATAAGCTACCAGTGTTACCTGCGGACAAATTGAGGGGTCGCTCTTTAGCCACAGGTCAAATTACTCACGTATTTATTTGCGGAATGTGGTTCAGATTCGAAGTTTAAATGTCATGGTAGCAAATACTCCGAGCTGCAATTAAAATGGCGTAAATAAATAATTGGCATTACGTTTGCGTTTAGGTTTTAGCGTGTGTAAGAACAAAAATGTCTCAATAGTATTAGGTATATTTATTACTTAGGATAAATGATGCATCTGTAGCAATGAACAAATGTAGACTAATGAATTCTGTTTTTTTATACTTTCTATTTTTATACCAACTTAGGTAACCATAGCATCATTCAGCTTATCGGTGTTTAACACATATACAACAGGAGTAAGTTACATCAACATAAACGACGGCCAACACTTTTTTTAACCATGCCATGTACTATGGGTTCTCCTGTTTCGTACACCATGTACTCCTATGTATGTAGGTTATCTATCAAAGAAACATCTGTGATCATGGACAACAGTCCATGATCACAGATATAATATTAATGGTAGAAATTGTGCAAGAATGACTGTTTCGTATTCAAATGTGGGAGGTACAATTATACAGTTTAGTTAGAACTTAGTCTAAACAACTTTCACGTCGATGCTGGCCGCAAGAATCTGCGACTCGCATACTTATAAATTGCCAAATGTTCTCGTAGCTAACAATTAAGCCACGCCTAGTTTCTTTATGTTGGTATTTGAAAATGGAACTATTTTTAGTGGCTGTTTAAAAAAATATTTTTGTTTGTCTTAAAAAGGAGGTTGTTTGATATTTTGTTTAATTTTTTATTATGATCGATTTATATTAAATAATGCATATACTTGTGCGTTTCTACTATTATTCTTCTTGACTCACTGTGTGCATAAACAGTTAAATAAATAAATACTTCCAACTGTCTTTAATAATAAATAAATAAGTAAGTATCATTTTAACATAAAGAAATCTAATATTCTAAATTCAAAACTTCGTAGGTAGATAAGTGTAGATGTGTGTATGTTTATGGCTCTATCACGTGAAAACTACTTATGGGATTTAAATGAAATTTGACACAGATAGATAATAGTCTGGAATAACACATAGGCTACATTACACCCTGGTAAAGCGAACAAAGCCGGTAGAAACTAGTTAAATAAATATGATAATTCTGTAAAAAGCCAGTATTAAATAAAATTATTAAACGATAGTGTTTGGAATAAAAACAAACCAATAGATTCTAAGATATCTATATTTGTAATCTAGGTTTTATCTACACTTTAAAGATATAGAAACTCATTTCTGTTTAAGTCTTTGCAGCTACTTATATAAGCTAAATCTACATTCAATAGGTCATGTTACCTTTTGGCAGTATTCCAAATACTATAGAGTACAGTCAGTCACAAAATGTATAGATACCAATAAATTATAAATTATATCATTTTCTTATAGTATTTCTGCAGTAGTGGTTGCCTAGACGTTAAGGCACCCGTTACTCAACATGCACGAGGGTGGGCTTTCAAAACCTGGTAAGTACCAATGGGACTTTTTCCGAGTTACATGTACTTTCTATGATTATTTAGATACCACTGACATACAGCGATGGAAAATATCATAAGGAAACTTGGACTTCCAGTCTAGACTACTTTTCATACCCCTAAATGATAAGGATTATTTACCATTGACATTTTTTCCAAAATAATTTAAATGACAAAGAAACAATTGATTGGTGAGCTAGTGATTTCTAAAATATAGGGATACCACGGTCTCACAGAAAACCGGCGTGTAACAACCACAGCGTTGTGTTGCGCCCTGTGACTTTGAGTGAGATTACCGGAGGCTCAATCCCTCTTGATATCCAAAACCCTTATTCCTAAAAGGCCGGCAACGCACTTGTTACTTCTTTGGTGTTGCGGGTGTCCCTAGGCGGCACCGATAGCTAACCATCAGGTAATTCGTCTGCTCGATTTGCCGACCAATACCATAAAATAAATAATAAAATGAATGCTTTTACTCGTTGACTGCACACACGAAGTTGACCGTCAGGTGAAAACTGTGCACTAAAGCAAGATAACTAGTACGTTATATGCAGAAGGTGCCGCCATTTTGCAAGTTAATTCCGCGAACCTAATACATGTTTAATGCATGCACGGACGCTGCCATCTCCTACAATATGTATGTGTGAGAAATTGATTTTATAATTTTTCTTCTATTTCACACTGATTAGGTTTTTAAATGATGGAAAATTGACAAAGGTGATCTTAATTCGGCGGTAGATTGAATTGTCTCGGCATTTGATAAAATTATGGTAGTCAGTTTTGAAGAAAATTTTACTCATAGTGACGATCACAAGGGTTCAGTTTATGGAAATATTTCAAATAGACAGATTCGTGCCCGCTTTTTCAGCATGACGTTTTGAGTTTAATGTACTTTATAAGTTTAAATACACAGTACTGACATACGGTGAAGGAAGAAATAGCAAGGAAACGTAAACCAATAATCTAATTAAAAGTTTAAAATCACCAATTTTTTTGTTTTTTTTTTTATGAGGTAGATCGGCAAACGAGCAGGCTAGATAACCTGATGGTAAGCAATTAGCGCCGCCCATGGACACCCGCAACGGAGGAGTTACGAGTGCGTTGCCGACCTTTTAGGGATTAGGGATTTGGAGATTTAGGGATTGAGGAGGGATTGGGGGAGGGGAAGGATTGGGCCTCCGGTAACCTCACTGACACGGCGAAACACAAAGCTGTTGTTGTTACACGCCGGTTTTCTGTGAGGCCGTGGTATCACTCCAGTCGAGCCGACCCATTCGCGCCGAAGCATGGCTCTTCCACACTTACGACGTATTCGTCTTCCTTAAGCAAGCGTGGTGATAAACGCTCAAACCTTTTCACTTCGAGATGAGGCTTGCTCACTTGTGGGTTTTTAAAAACGATTGGACTGGATTCTCTTTTGAACACAACACAGGAATTCAGTCTCGTAAAATGTTCCTGTATTTATATCTCTTTGTAACCAAATCCCATACAAGACATGACGATCCACTGTGTATATTCTAGGAAGTCGTGTGTTTGGCGACCACGACGTTTCATTTCGATTTTGTCGTCAAAAATACAATACTAATATGAGAAATGTTTATTTCCAGACCGATGACCCCAAAAAGGCTGGAGGCCACTTATATATTAAATAATGTAACGGACATTTTCCACGTGTATGTTATAAAGGCTGAACTTATTATATTTATATTATATTATTTATTTGTATTCTGATTGAGTCGTATTTTATCGACAAGAAGTCATTAAATACGTTTCTAGGCTGTTTTTTTGTTTTTGTTTAAATCTATACTTCTATACTACTATTATAAAGAAGTAAAATTTGTAAGTTTGTATGTAGGGGGTAATCTTTGGAACCGCTGGTCGGATTGCCAAAATTCTTTCACTGATAGCTACAATGTGCCTGAGTGCTATAAGCTATAAAACATCACGCTACGATTAAATTGAGTCAAGCAGCAAGCAAGCAGAAATCGCGCTAGAATAGCTGGTACTTGATAAAGGTGGATTAAGGTTCAGTTTAGAAGTAACAGTATAATGTTGTTGTTGGCTGTGCTAGACCAGAAGTCGATGTCCTCAATTGGTGGCGACAATTTGTAGATCACACTAAGAGTTGTCCAGTGCGGGGATCGATGGCGAAACACGTGGCGCGTATAATCAATTTCTTATAATTGTCTTAAATACTACTTTGTTTTAGCATAAAATTGATTCGCATAACATTTATAGACTTAATGACTATTACTATAATAATATTTAGGCATACAATTAACAAAAGCTTGTGACAGACATTGCTAGTACTTATAAAAGCAGTATCAATGAAATAGAAACGTGCCCAATATAATAGAAAGCACAAGCTCATCTAGTATTTCTAACTTCGTAACACACATATGAAGTTGCGTACCCACTACACACATACATTATAGTATTTATGTGTGTGCGACCGGCTGACTAGTGTATTGTCCGAACCGGTTGGTACTCCCGATTTGGCTTGATGAATGGCCTGCAACTGTGATTGTGTCGAAATAGCATCTATTACCATTCAATTAGATATCACTTTGATTTTGATCATTGTTATGATTGCGTCGTGTAGTGGCGTTGTGGTGTATGGTGTATAATATTGTATAGGTTAAGTGTTAGGACCTTTTTTTGTGGGTGAAATGTGATAAAACTTGTGGCGGGTTTTCTTTATGTGACAGGTTGGCAAAAGAGCAAACGGAATACATGATAGTTAGTAATCAGCACCGCCCATGGACATTCGCAACAACAAAAGAGTTACGAGTGCGTTGTCGACGTTTTGGGGATGTTTTCTATGAGGCCGTGGTATCATTTCGGCCGACCCATTGATGCCGAAGCATGGCTTTAACACACTTGGAATGTCAAACTCT